TATCCAAGGCACATAATGAAAGAATCAAATCTCTTATACCAACACCTCGGTGCCTGCTTTAGACCGTAAAGAGATTTGTTCAACCTGCAAACCAAGTTCTTCTTTTCTTTTTCTTCAAAACCTTCAGGCTAGAGCATATAAATTTCTTCTTCAAGATTTCCATGAAGAAAAGCTGTTTTAACATCTAGCTGCTCTAGATGTAAGTCCAATGTAGCACACATTGCCAAAACTACTCGAATTGTTGTTAGTCGAACCACAGGAGAAAATATTTCATTGAAATCAATACATTCTTTTTGAGCATATCCTTTGACCACCAGTCTTGCACGATACCTCTCAACTTGATCGTCACCATTTCGCTTGATTTTGAAGACCCATTTGTTACCAATTGGCTTCCTTTCTTGTGGTAGTGGCACAAGGTCCCATGTATTATTTTTATGAAGGGCTTCAATTTCTTCTTGCATCGCCATCATCCACAGTGAAGCATCTGAGTTGTTTATTGCCTCCTGGTATGTTGATGGCTCACCGTCCTCTGTTAAAAGGTAGTATGCAATATTACCTTCTATAACATAATCTGAGTGCCAATTGGGACGTCTTCTCACACGATCTGATTGACGAGTTGTTGGAGCTTCAGAACTCTCTGGTTCTTGTTCATAATGTGCTGGTTCTGCTTCAGAAGAATCTCCTTCTTCAACCTCTTTTCCACATGTATCTGTGTAGTCTCTGACTTTTTAGCACTATCATCGTCTTATTTTCTTTGTAGTTTATCCTCTACAAAGATAACATCCCTGCTGATGATCACTTTATGGGCAGTGGGATCCCACAAGCGATACCCCTTTACACCATCAGCATACCCCAATAATTTGCTTTTCCTGGATTTTGGATCCAGCTTTGAAATTTCTTGGGCGTTGTACATCACGTACACAATACTTCCAAATACATGGAGGTTTGAATAATCAGCTGGTTTACCAGTTCACATGTCCATTGGTGTCTTCAGCTCTATTGCAATTGATGGAGCTCGATTCACCAAATAACAGGCGGTATTGACTGCTTCTGCCCAGAATGATTTTTCTAGGCCTGCATCCCTCAACATTGCTCTTGTTCTTTCTAACAAGGTTATGTTCATCCGCTCTGCCACTCCATTTTGTTGAGGAGTGTTCGCCACTGTGAACTGTCTTTTGATGCATTCTTTCCTGCAAAAGTCATCAAATTCTTCGCTTGTGTATTCTCTTCCATTATCTGTTCTGAAACACTTGATCTTATTTCCAGAATCAAGTTCCACCCGCAATTTGAAGTTTTTGAAAGTTGAAAACACGTCTAACTTCTTCTTAATAGGGTGCACCCAACATCTCCTAGAGTAGTCATCAATAAATGAGACAAAGTATTTTGCTCCACCTAGGGACGTTATTGGTGCTTGCCATACGTCAGAGTGAACCAATTCTAGAACACTTTTGCCTCTAGAATTTGATGTGTTGAATTTCAACCGGTGCTGCTTACTTGTTATGCAATGCTTACACAAAGGAAGTGATACCTTTGTTAAGCCTGGAAGTAGCTTTTGCTCCACAAGGACTTTCATTCCTTGTTCTGACATGTGTCCAAGTTTCTGATGCCATAGCATTGCCGAATCTGAACTACATGAGGCAACAGAGGCTTCTGCTTCTAGCAAAGTCTCTCCCTTCAGCATGTACAAGTTTGCTGCTATCTTTTCGCCTTTCAGCACCACAAGCGCTCCACGGACCGTGTCTCAATCTTGCTTGCATTATTATCCAACAATCCGTAGGATATTAAAATTTTCTTCAGGCCTTTCACGTGTCGTACATCTCGAACAACTTTAATTGTTCCATCATACATCTTCAATTTGATGGTTCCCACGCCAATGATCTCTAAGGCATGATCATTGCAACTATACACAGATCCTCCCGAGACAGGTTCATAATGATGGAACCATTCTCTTCTTGAGGTCATGTGATATGTTGCTCCCAAATCAATGAGCCATATATCTGCAAATCGTTTTCTTCCTTCCACGGTGGTTGACGCTTCACAGCATAGAGCATCTCCATCATCTGAAGTGTTTGCGGTATTGCCTTGTGGATTGGAGTTTTTATTTAGACTCCAACAATCCTTCTTCAAATGACCCTCTTTCCACAGTTGTAACACTTTAAATTTTTCTTGCTCCTCGAATTCGATCTACCATGTTTGTGACTGCTGCTTTGGCCACATTCTGTTGATCTCCCTCTCATCGTTGTCATCATTGTCAACACTTCTGATTGTTGCAGATTTACTTGTCTGTCTTCTTGTTCTTGCGCCGATTTTCTTCTTGTAGAACAACAACTGCAACATCATCAAAGACTAGACTAGTGACATTATTGTTTGTCAAGTTGATGATGAGTTGATCATACGAATCCGGTAGACTTTGAAGTAGAAGTTCAGCACGTTCTTGTTCTCATATTTTACAGCTTAAGGATGTAAACTGAGAAAATAAGGTGTTCAGTATATTTAAGTGCTCCGTCACTGAAGTAGATTCTGGCATACGAAGAGTGTACAATTTCCTCTTAAGGAAAATTTTATTGTGGAGCGACGTGGCCTCGTACAATTTGGTGAGATGATCTCATATCTCCTTAGCTGTCTTCTTCTCCTCGATGCTTGACAATACTTCATCTGCTAATGCTAGATGAAAGTTTGCCATAGCATTCCCGTCCATCTCGTTCCATTTGATGTCATCTGCGAAATCCACCGGCCTTTTATTGATAGCCGCTACACACCTGTCTTTCCTTAGGATGACCTTCATCTTCAATTTCCACAATGAGAAATTTCTCCCATTGAATTTTTCAATATCAAATTTTGTTGCCATAAACTTCTTTTACGGATAGCTTCTACTATTTCACTATCGTGAATAATTCTCTGGAACCTTCAAAGAATGGGTAATACCTTCTTACTTTCTTATGTTGGAGGATCCACCTTTTGGTGGCAACCACAAAGACAATAAGCATATATTACACACTCAAATCTGGCTCTGATACCAATTGTTGCGGAAGACGGCTATCGGATAGAGCAAAATCGCAACTGATAACTTGAGAAAATAAAAATGAAGATAAAAGAGACACAAAATTTACGTGGAAAACCCCTAAAATTATTAGGGTAAAAACCACGGGCAACGGTAGAAGAATTTCACTATGAGAAAATAGGAATTACAACCTCTCTCGATCTACCAATGAGAAAACAATGATAATTCTCTCTTGATAAAAAGGAGAAAACAACTCTCAAGAAACTCTCTAAATTCTCTCTAGTATTGGAAGAAAGCTAGAATGCTTTGGGATGTTTTTGAAGCTAAATGAGCTAGGTATTTATAGTAGAAGCTTTAAGGACTAATCTTATAAATACCCTAAATTACAATGACTAATTGCATAGTTTTACCATCCAAAAATTCAACAAAAGTTGGCTACCTAAATATGATAAATTTTTTGTTTACTTTCAACAGTACAAATTGAGGAAAACACAACCAAGTGATGGCATCGTGAGATTACAAATCGGGTAAACATTGAAATATCCGGTCAGTGCAATAGGCTCATGGCTAATGAATAAATTAGTACCTGTCTAAACAAACACTAACCAACACATATATCTGAAAGCCAAAGAAATGTCATATAAACGAACGAAGAAGCCAAACATCAAGAAAATAAGCAATTAAAGAAATTCATAGAACTATAGACAAAGAAGAAGACCAATTAAAAAAATTACATTAAAAATGTGAAAATACCAATAATCATGATATCCTTTATAAAAAATTAAAAAAAATATTATTATAAATGTGTTAAAATACAACTATAAACAACATAACTGAAGTCTGAACAACGATAGACTGAAAAATAAAAAAAGACAGAAATAATGGATGAGCAAAGCCACCGCTACTATCGTTGTCGCTAAAAACTTGTGCTAACCGCCTTTAACTGTGATATAGTAAAAAGAAGGGAACAATAGTTTTCACTATATGTTAATAAAAGTACCGTAGCAAAACAATTAACTATCATAAATAATAATGACAATAATAAAAGGAAAAAATAATATAATTATTATGTCGCGATAGAATGTGTTATTTTAAAAGTATTTTTGTTTGAATTGATGTAATTATAATAATAAATGTTGTTTTCAAAGTTAACATAATCTTTCAAACGTAGTACGTTCGGAGTGAGAAAGTAGAACTCACTTGATTTGATTTAGCATATAAACCTTGGGATGTTGATAAGTATTCTAGAAAGATGGTCCAAAATTTGTCATGAAAGGTGGCTAGCTAGTTCTTCACACTCAGACATGTGATTTCATCAAGTTTATCTCAATATAAATCACTTTATTAGAGCTATGAAATCGTTAAAAGCAATTTGTAAGCTCAACATTCATTAAGTTCGTCTAAAAATGACCAATCAAATCCTAAGTTATAAACTGATTAAAAGCATAAAAACTCATCTTTTTACATTGATGCATTCATCAAATCCGTCTCACTAGGAACAATCAAATCTTGAACTATGAATTCATTAATAGAAAAAGCTCAATCTTATGCATTTACATTGCTCGACATTGAAATCGATAAAGATATACACTCTTTTTACAGCTTCGTTGAGCACATAGAACTTAGGTAAAGATTACCGGCCTTGATTCAAGTTGTTTTTAGTTTGAGTTGAATTTAGAAGAACCATGTCAATCCAACTAAAATTTGAATCAATTTTAGTTTAATTCGATTTATTTTAGTTTTGGATCAAGTTTGGAACGTCATATTCTGGTCCATTTCAGATCTCATGTTGAATAAATCGGTTAGTATCAAGTTTGCCATCTTTGATAATTATCGGAGAGTATACGAAATAGAAAATCCAGTTGTTTTGTGGTATATCCGTTGTAATGAATCCTGAATGTTTATAGCAATAAAAACCTAGACCATACATACATTCCCGACGACAAATAATGCATGCAATTCACTACTAGTACTAGTAGTAATCTTTCTAATGTTTGTGTTAAAAAGAAGACAGCATACTCTCCAAATAATCACTCCCCAAATCCTGAAACTCAAACACATCTTCTTCACCAGTTGCCAGTTTCTTTAGTTTAGGCTCTTCAACCTCACCGTTTTCCTCCCGACCTCTACACACCGTTTTCGGGTTATTCCCAAGACCTTGATAAGCAGCAGTCGACGAACAATGGTCCAAGTAATCAATGCCTTTTGTGTTGTCAATTCCCATGGCTCCATGAACCATCTCTAGTGGGAAGTTAAGATATGCTTTGGGGCCTCGGATTCTCAAAGCAGCTTTGTCGTACGCCATAGCGGCTTCCTCGGCTGTTTCAAATGTTCCGAGCCACAACCGAGCTCCTTTCTTGGATGAATCCCTTATCTCTGCGGCGTACTTTCCCCACGGCCTTCGTCTCACTCCCCGGTAGTATCTCGTCGCCGCCTTCTCAACTCTAGTAGGATTCACTTTAACACCTCGAGGGCTTATATCTTTGGTTGTTCCATCGTTACAGAATTGACCTAAAGGAATAATCCCATCAAGAAGACCCTCCCAGGCGTCGGCTCCCATTGAAGAACCCTGTCTCCCATCGAGGCATGGCAGTCCTTCCCAGGATTTCGACGTTGATTTTGTCTTTGCTTCTTCTCCACCGATGAAGTTTGCCCATACGTTCTCTAATATCAACTGATTAAATGTTGCATGGCGACTGCTTTCTATAGCCATCTTAGTATCAATTTAACTCCAACCGTATGATGATTCAGAAATATAAACCTTTGAATACGCGTGATTTGGATCTTTATCCTATCATCTATGTCAAGTTCCAGCAAGAAACTTGTCATTGAATCAACCGGCCTGCTTAATTCATGGAGAAGAAATGGAATTCAAACAATAAAGAATGGAGTGGATTTGTTTATTCCAAGGCCTTAATGTTGACTTATATGGCTGGTCTAATCATTTGAAGGCTTAGCTATTTATTCGGTGACTGATGTTTCATATCAATTTGTAATCTGTAAAAATCCAAATTTCTTGGTATACAAGCATCCACGTACCATCTTGATTAAAGAATAAGATTAAACTTATGGCAAGATATATATAAAATAAGGCCGCACGCTTCAACATTTAAAAAATAGAAAAATATATAATAAACTTGAAAGGTCGAGATTAAACGCTTAAAACTAAAGAAAGTTTGAGTCTTATGCAAAAACGGTGGTTATTCGATGAACCCAAGGAAGAAAACTTCACTAACTAACACGACCTTGGATTGAGTCTTAATTCACTTCATATTTTTGTTGTTATGATAATTAAAAGGTTACCGATTCATTTATATTTAAATATATATTCACGCACAACCAAACAATCTTAATGATTAAATGAATGATTATTATCTTTAAAGGTCTTGGGGATCGAACACGAAGGACGTTTGAACGTTCATTGTCAGATAGTTGGAAGTATACATACGTCATGCTCGAACCCAATACTCCTAAGAAATAACAACAATCCCCTTAATTACTTATATTACTTTATTTATGTGTTACATGATCGTTGTTAAATAATACAACCCAAAATTTGATTATTTGAAATTTAAAATATTAAAATAAATGTCAACTTGTGACATCCATTGGGTGGTATTTGCATCACAAATATAGGGAGAAGAAGATGTCGTTCAAATTCTATTACGAGGTCGATCTATTGAGGGTGCTCTAAGGAGCACCATGGTTTTTTAAAAATCACCAGTTAATCATGCACAAGTTGGAAAAAGGAGAAGATCCATTGTTGGTCCATTTACTGATTTTACGAACTTGTAGGTTAAAAAATGATGATTTTTGAATGGGACATCTCCCTTAGAGCGACACCGAGGAGGTATCTACTCCAGTAGTTAACCGATGGCTCTATAAGAAAAATAAGAGGTGTTGGCATTAGTCAAGAATATGACGTTTCTTAAAGTATCAGCTATCGATGGTTTCTTTACCTTATTTTAGATATAATAGCAAAATTAACACACATGTTTCTATTTTAATTCTTTTTTTAGAGTATTTTATTCTAAAATTTTAATTTTCGGTTAAAATAGTTAATATTAAATAGAAATAATTGGTTAATTAATTATCAACATATATCCGCAACATGAAATTTTAACATATACTTATTTATTGACACGTTACATGTCATGTCACCCAAAATAATTATATGATATATGTCATGTCAACTATAGAGATATGTATTACGTTACCAAATTATTGACGTAATATGTTTAATGTTATCAAATTTGATGACACAAAATGTGCTATGTCATTTAAAATGATAATGTATAATGCATTATGCTACCATAAGTGATGACATGATGTCTTCCCCATCACCATAAGCGATAATATAGTGTGTATCACATACATAGTATGTGTCACACTATCGTTAGTGATGGTGTGACATGTGTCATGTCACCTAAAACAATGATATGTCATTTCTATTATTATTCAATGGATTTTCTAGTAAAAAAGATCACCAAACTACTACTTTGTTTCTTCAATTTCTTTCCTTTGTTTCAAATTCGTCAAAAAAAAACCTTTTAATATTTTAAAATTCATAGTAAATCCTAATCGAAATTAAAAGTTTAATTTTTTTATCTATTATTGTCAATTACCAAATCATCTTGAAATAAATTATATTAATCGTCTGGCTAAATATATCTTTTCTATTGATTGACGATCACTCTATTCATTAAAAATTTGACCTTGAAGGTGGCTGTAAATTTGTAACCTTATAATTTTTTGAAAAAGAAAACTTTAACGTATCACGTTAATATTACTTAAAAACAATTGATGATAATGACTATAATGAAAGTAAATTAAAAGTTTGATATCCAAATTGATAATGCTTAAAAGTTTAGTGATCAACCTATGTAGTTTACCCTAAAAATTTCAAAGGAAAAAGAAAAATGAACTGAAACACCTCTTTTCTCAGGAAAACAGGAAAGAATCATTAATTCTGTTCCCTTGTTAGACTAATTTGTACCATGCAAAACCTGGCTTCATGATCTTCTCACTTCTAAAGAGATTACCTTTATTTGCTCCGCCATTTGTCAAAGTTATCCCTTCACCATCGAAGAGACTCCTGGCGTTAGCCCAGCAGCTGCGTCATTACAAGCCTCCATCTTCGTCCTGGGATGACAACGACGAGCGAACCATCGAGGAAGCCGCCGAGAAAGTTGTTTCCCAAGTGGGTTTTCAAGAATCCGCTACCCAAGTAGCTCAAAACTCGGATAAATTCAGATCCAAAAGAGCTGCTGTTTTGATCTGTCTCTTTGAAGGGGATGCCGGGGATTTGCGTGTCATATTGACCAAAAGGTCTTCCAGATTATCAAGTCATTCGGGTCTGTTTCGTTCTATTTGGTTTGGTTTAAGATTGGGAAGTTAATGGTTAAATGAAATGTTTGGTTTTTGTTTCCGCGAATTGTTTACTCTCGTGGGATTTCGGATCAGCTTTTGATTGGTTGATGGGAATTTTTGATGAATGAAAATTTTAAAATTTCTTGGGAAGGGAATGATGATTTTACTAGAAAGTTACTGGATTGAGTTGAGGTATATATTTTTTATTATATGTTAGGATCCAAATGTTAAAATTTGACTACAGTCACTCTGGTGATTGTTTTTCTTTTTCTTTTTTAATATCCTTTGTTTGGTTCGTAAGAAAATTCAAGCCACAGAACAGAAGTATTCGCTTAATAACATTTGTTTTCTACCTATAGAAGGCTCATTGCAGTACGTTTTCCTTTTTGAATGTCAGGAACAACCAACTAATGTTATTAAGGCTTGAAATCAATATGAAGTTGAATCCTTGATTGAGTTAGAATCAGTTGAATCCTTTTTGCTGGATACTATCATATTTTGGTTTCCTAAGAAAGTTTGGGTGTTTCAGTTCACTTGAATTAGTTGCTTTAGATTCACCTAAGTCTAGGAGTTTACATGTATAAGATTGTGATTTTGTTTTCTCTTATCTTTCCTCTGTGTAACCACCAAATGTGGACTTAATGGTTATTGACTTAGTGTCTTTGAGGGTTTGTTGCAGGGGGAGTTTCATTGCTTGGTGGGAAAGCAGATGAGGGGGACAAAGATGATGGTGATACAGCTACTAGGGAGGCTAAAGAAGAGATTGGGATGGACCCTTCACTTGTGAATGTGATAACTGTTCTTGAACCGTTTCTGTCTAAGGTGTTGAAATATTTCCTCTTGGCTTTTCCAGTATCTTCATCAACCATTCATCTACTTGGTGAATGGAATTAGTTTGATTTGAATCAGTTCTCATTTGGATGACTGTGACATTTTCTGTTCTATTTATCAATAAGTAATATTTGTTGAAAGTTTTAGAGTGTCTGTCTAAAACTCAACATTCAAAACTTAGCATTAAAGCGAAGAAGAATCTATGTAATAAGAGATAGACTGTTAAGTGTGCAGCAAATTTATTGACCTAAGCTTGTTTGACCAAATACAAATTCTTGAGCAAGTTATTATATCTGAGAACTTTACATTGTCTGTCTAAAATTTTTTGGTTTTCCGTGCAGCATCTCCTAAGAGTAGTTCCTGTTATTGGTATACTTCATGACAGAAAGGCATTTAAGCCTACTCCGAATCCTGCAGAAGTCAATGCGGTATTTGATGCTCCACTGGAAATGTTCATTAAGGTTCCTCTCTTCAACTCCAACTCCAACTCTTATGCTTGTTTTTAGTTTTAACCTTTTTTTTTCTTCTCTTTAACTGTTTATGGTTTGCTTTGTTCAGGATGAAAACCGAAGCGTGGAAGAGCGAGAATGGATGGGAGAGAAGTATCTTCTTCACTTCTTCGATTACGAGTTCGAGAATAAGAGGTATCTAATATGGGGTTTAACTGCTGGTATTTTGATAAGAGCTGCTTCAGTGGTCTACCAGCGACCACCAACTATGCATTGTAGAAAATAATTATAAATAAGATTTGTTCATTCATGTCAGTCTATCATCTCTTTGTTTTACTCTCCACACAACTAAATCAAATACTAATTGATTATCAGATTAGCCATTTAATAGCTAGCAATATCACCTTCATCTTGATAGGTTTCAAAGAAACAAATACAGTACTCGATATCGGCAGCTCAATAACAAACAATTCATAAGAAAAGCGAAGATAAAGCTCAATGCTATCATCAGGTATCGGATTCAGGAAACAGCTCAGAGTTCGGTAAATTCTTTCCGGCTGAATTTCTCCATCTCTTGCCTAAAATCAGCCATGGCAGTCTCACGCAAGCTTACCAACACTTTAAACCCTTTCTTCTTTCCCGTATTATTTGATGAGGCGTAGGGCAGGAAAAAACATGGCTCCATACTCCCAAGGAAATTGGTTGAAAGTGGCAACACCGTTACCGGACCTCCCCAACCGAAATCCACCGCCGAATGGCCTAAATGTCTCCAATCAGTGAAACCACTCACCCCTTTTCCGGCAGTGATGCCGTCTTTGTAGTGCAGTTCTTGCAAGTCGATGAAAGATCGGACGAACTCGTCACTAGCATTGCTTTTGCTCTTCTTTATTAGCTCAGCCGTTTTCCACAAAGGCTGCTCGATTAAGTCCTTGGCACTGACCTTGGCGTACATTGCGACGCAGCCGTTGCCCCAATAGCCAGCAGGTAATGCCGGCTTTACCACTTTGCGGATGTTCATCAAATATGAAAACTTCACGATCTCATCACCTTGAATCTTCGAGGCTTTCACCCTGTTTAATCATCAACAATAAAAAACCCATTTATGTGAAAAATTATGAGAAAATTAGCAAACTTTTTTGAACTTACTTGGCTCGCCAAATATAAGCACCCAAAATTTCAAACGTGGTTAAACCCAGACCACTTTGTCCAGAAAGCAAAGCCTTCAGCTGGTCCAAGCATTCATCTTCCACATAAAAACACTCCTTCACAACATGTCCGATATACTGTGTGTAAGGATTGAAACCTTTCTCTAAGCTTAGGAACTCACGAACAGGAGCTTCAACTTTCGGTGGGTTCCTCGGACCCAACAAGGTGGGTCGATCCCAAACCAGCTGAAACTTCACCTGGTTCACCCCACGAGCTATATCAGCTGCCATACAGAAAAACTGGGTCGCACCAAGTCCATCACATAGAGAATTATGTATGGCCGCCCCAAGAATAAAGCCACCGCATTTAAACACCGTTAACTGTAAAGTACAAGGATTTTCCATCGTTTCTTCCTGGATCGGGTCGGGAACAAACTGCTCAACCAAATTCATGTCGGGATCCTCGAGGTAATTTACAGACTCTAATCTACAGTCTACGGTGGCTTTGACAAGCGGTAGGCTTTGATCCACCCGACAAAAAAGCTCATACCTCCCGTTGCTGGCACGGCGAAGGGATCCTGCAAGAGGATAATAGTGGTGGAGAGCGGCGGAGATAGCGGAGGGGATGACGTGGAAAGGGTCGCTATCAGTGGTGACGCTGGTGTTGGTGTAAGCTCGCAGGTAACGGAAGGTGACGTTGAGGGAGTGATCATTGTCTAGGTGAGAGAGAGCAAGGGTGTGGTCCTCTGTCAAGGGTGCGGCGGAGGGGCGGAGGAGAGCGGTTTCTAAGACTTGGAGCTTCATTTTTTCTGGGTTTGGGGTTGGTGGACTGGCGGCGTTCAAGAGGGCGGGGGTTGGTAAAAAACGTGGGAGAATGGCATTGCCACAAGGCTGAAAGACTCGCCCTTTAAACTAGTCATTGAAGAGGCAGTGTACTTCTTTGAATGTTAGACTTTGGGTAACTAGAATTCATAATACAATTCTCACTATTTTCTTCATTCATTTTTATTTTTTATTTTACCTCAATAATTTGGACATTTTTCCTGAAATATCACCGGTGACCGGTATATTTATCGATTTAACATCGGTCAGATTATATTTTTCGATCTAACACCTTTAACAGTAAAGCACGCCCCCTACATCGCGTTATATATTGATTTGGCGTCATGTAGGGTATAACGCGCCCCCTATACCACGCTATATGCTGACAGGATACACGTGATGTCAAATTAGATTATAAAATTTGGTGAGCCAACTCCTCCATTATTATTTAAATAATTAAATATGCAAGTTGACTCTCAGTTTATAAATTAATAAAGCTCTCTTACCCTCCAATTTTCATCCCTTCTTTGGTTATTTCCTTTTTGTCTTTAATAAATAATTAGTCATGATTAAATTTAACTAGTGAATAATTTTTATGTAAAAAATATTCTTAATAATTAAGTTTATTTCTCTATAAGTTTTACGAATGATGAGAGATAATTAAGTTTATTTCTCTATAAAATCTTTAAAATTTAATAAATAATAAAATTTAAAGGAGTCATGATTTAATTTTACTAGTTTTAAAATTGAAGAGACTTAAAGAGTGAATTAAACCAAAAAAAATTATAAGTAAAAATTTGATTTTAAAGATAAAATGATCCTAAAATTTAATTAAATCAGTAAATTTTGCGAGGGGCAAGGACTTAATTATTAGTATAATTATTAGTTTAATTAAACTAGTTAAATTTAATCATTACATGTTTTTTATTAGTATAATTTTCATAAGATTTAACTTTATTTTTAATTAGAATTTGAAGTAATATTTAATAAAATTGTTTTTTATATTTTTTAATGTGAAATCAAAACAAGTGAAGATTTGAAAATATGAAGACTAGAATGGATTAAAATTGCAATTTATGTATATACAAAGGTTAAGAGTAGAAATTAACCTTTCAAGAATCTCATAATGATCGTGATCTGGTATCGGAAAGTTTCACTTCTCTATTTTTGACTAATTATTTATTAAAGACAAAAAGGAAATAACCAAAAAGGGATGAAAATTGGAGGGTAAGAGAGCTTTATTAATTTATAAAATGAGAGTCAACTTGCATATTTAATTATTTAAATAATAAGGGAGGAGTTGGCTCACCAAATTTTTATAATTTAATTTGACTTCACGTAATACACATGGTCGCGTTATACCCACGTGTATCCCTGTCAGTCTATAGCGCGGTGCAGGGGGCGCGCTATACCCTACGTGGCGTCAAATCAATATATAACGCGGTGCAAGGGGCGCGCTTTACTGCTAAGGGTGTTAGATCGAGAAATATAATCTGACCGGTGTTAGATCGGTAAATATACCGATCACCGGTGATTTTTCGAGAAAAACGTCAATAATTTGGAGTGAATAATTTGGTGATTATCTTATGAAAAAATTAAATTAATAAAATATAAAAATATATCAATTCTATTAATCATCAAATCAATTTCTCATCAAATATTGATATTTGATTAATATCATTTAAATATTATAATTAAATAGTCATATCATATGTGTAATATACTTAAAAATAATTAAAAATAATAATAATTAACAAAAGTATGTCAAAATGCAATTATGTCTTTTAAATTTGCATTATATGTGTATATATTTCAATGTATATTATTCCGGTATATGAATATATTACTTTTCCATTATCTTTTTTGATACATGAAAAAGAAAGTGAAAAAGGGGAGGTTGTGGGAAAAATGCATTCCCTCTGCCAAACCCCACGATCGTCACCGACTTCCCCTTTGCAGATATTAATACGGTCCCAATGTATTTAAAATTGTGAACGGATGTGCAACAAAATTGAAAAAAAAAAAGCCAGTTGCAGACTGAATGTTGTTTTCGAATTCAATCAATTTGGAGCAATAAAACAAATGCTCGGGGTAGGTGTGATAAAAACATAATATTATATATTAAATATAATTTAAAATACTTTTAATTGCGTTTATTTTCGCCCTTTTTAACATTAAATTAAATGTCATTCCTTAAACTTTCCCACCTATCCATACTATCTTCTAAGACACAAGTTCTTTGAAAAAGCTAATGTTGAATAGAGAAATAATGGCTTATTTAGAGAAATAATTAAAAAAAACAAAGAAAAAGAAACATGGATGTTGAACAATTTTAAGAGGTGTTGACCAGGGTTTCAAAAAATGGTCCGCGATCGTGATTTCGACCGTGATATAGCGGTTTCGTCGCCGTCCGAATTACCCGCGACGGTCGTAATCACTATAAATTCGAAATAACCAAAAACGCGACCACGACCGTGATTTAAAATCCTGATGCTGACTGCCTGTTATAATCGTGGAGATATCCGACTTGGGTTTAGGATTAGTCGATTGAATTACTACCATGATTCTTTAAAATTTGTTAACTCTCACCACTCAATGCAGCACGACTCCAAATGGGAAAACTGAAGTATAAAGATGCCAGGGTAAAGGACTGTCCAATAATCGATGTATGTTATAGTCTTCTAGAGTAGACAAGTGTTTAATCTGAATTTTGAACTTCTTAATATTTATTATCTATTTTATTTATAATATTCATCTTAAATTTTTATTTGTGTTCGTTCTATATATATATATATATATATATATATAAATATCATATACAAGTGTGAATGCAGGTGTGACTGCAGGTGCGATGTTGGCGCCGCATGCAAATTGCTGGTTGGGATCGGCGAGGGCTGAAGATGACACGTGCACCAAATGCACTAGCACATAATATTTGTTCATTTTTATTTAAATTTTGTGCATTTTTTCATTTAATTCAAAAAATTAATATTTGATATTTTTGTTTTTATTTAAATAAGATGTTAGACCTTTAATATATTGTTGATGTGACATAGTAAATATATGAAATAAAAAAGGGCAAACTATACAAATGATCACTAATGTTTGAGTAAATTTTAGATTTCTCTACTGAAGTTTCAAAAGTAGCAAATTGGTCGATAAAACATCAAATATGTCTTTGAACAATGATTTTATATCTAATTTATCCAAAAGATTTTTAATTTCTATTTTTTTTTCGAAATATCCCACCACCTTCACTATATCCACGTGAACCACCTTTCGAACAGCACCAACCCAAGGTGGCTTGTTGGTCGCACAATAAAACTGTTGCCTTCATTGATGCTTACCGCGACAAATGATACATGCTTGGTCGTAAGAAATTCAAGGCTGTACATACAACCCCACAAAATGTAAACCGTGTAAAAGATATCATCAGGAAAGAGATAAAGAAAGCCTGTCCATGATGTGAAATGGATAACGTTACAAGGCTGTTGGAACCAAGGTTCTCAATCGATTTAAACAGGCAATGCGGCAAAGAGTTGTATCTTTTTTTTTGGGTAACAATAATACACTGTTAAACAATGTGTGAATAAGCTCTACTCAGCCAGCTCTATCCCTGTTAAGAGCGTGCCGAACTTCATTTAGAGGTTCCCAAATAAATATAAGGAGTCCGACTTCAATAGGCTTAGCCTGATTTAACCAAATCAGACTAATTTAATAATCTAAATCGTTATTAAAATTTTAGCCATTATAATCAATAATCAGTTGGTCTAATGAAATGATGTACTAGATCTTTTAAACAAAGCCAGATGTTCAAATTCTGATTTTTACGAATAAAACATATTAGGTTGAGAGAATTGCTCTTCCTCTACAATACTGGATCTAGTTAGTTGATTAATTTAAAAAAATCCTACCATTACACTAGTGGGTTTTAACTCTTTCTTTCACTCAAATATTTTTGTTGTATTTTTGAGAGCTTAAAATTATATATCCAACTTACTAGAGGTTTTATTCATCCATTAAGTTTTCAGGGAGGGAATGCCAACTCGACTTAAACCATAGTAATCGACCTTCACTTAGTATATAGATATATATTATAATATATGCAAAAGGAACCAGCGGCCTATTAGCTCAGTTGGTTAGAGCGTCGTGCTAATAACGCGAAGGTCGCAGGTTCGAAACCTGCATGGGCCATTTATTTAACTCTTTTTACCAAACGGTGCCGTCTGCTTATTATATATTGATTTCTAAACGATGTCGTTTGGATATTTTAGCTCATTGTAGGGCACTCTCAAGCAGATTACATCCCACCCAGCTCCTATTTTTATTTGTTTTCAATTTTTTTTGTCATCTCGGATTATAAAAATTGAACATCTGAAATAAATCTATACACAAAATAATTTAAATATACAAATTTTTTTCTTTTTAAAACCACTTGATGATTTAATACAAAAAAATAACACATTATTTATTGAAAAACATGTATATAAAACAAATTATTAGCATGTAAAAACGCATTTATAATATTCAAGATCCATAAAAATAATATAAATGTACACATTATATCATTCAGTTTCGTGAGTCGGCCTGAGTTTCCTCTTGAAATAGCAGCTCAACCTCAATATGCGGAGACCAAACTATTCGGGTACCAAACAGGAGTCGTCAAGCTGGAGAGCGGCTCGTTTCAAACCTATGATGATGATGTCTATTTATAGATATGATGATATGATGATTATAACTGTAGAAATAAGTTTGATTTTAGTAAATCATGTGAGATCGTTATAGAATTAATCATAAGGTTGTAATCATTTGAAGAGTATAAGACTCTGGATAAATAATGAACGAAAATACTATTTTTGAAAAATATTATAACAAAAATAATAATGATCTTTTCATACCATAAAGAAAGAATGATTATAAGACATGGCCATATCTTCGAAGCTTTTTAGCGCGGGGATAGCAAATCCACTGCCTTCAGCAGCCAGCCCCACGACAGGGACCGCCATTAAGATCTGAGAGCATGGTTTTCAAAACCGGATCGATTAGCGAACCGGCCGTGTTACCGATTCATTGGTTCAACCGGTCGAACCGGTTTGACCGGTCAAAAGAACCGGACAACGTCATAATTATTTAAAAAATTAAATAAAAATACCAAAAACATTTAATAAAAAATAATTTTTTATATCACAATTCATATTCAAAGCAAGTCATAACATATATAAGTTAAAAACCATAAAATCAAATGAAACAAAATGATTCAAATTAACTACAACATAATATTTAAGGTAAAACATATTAAATAATAAATATAATTATATAACTATAATTAAAAAATAAATTTAGGGCTAAAAAAATCATAACAAAATGATATTGTTTGGTTTAATTTTTTTTAAAAAAAATAATCCCACATGGTTAAGAAACATAGAAGATCATCCCAACTAACTTCTATAAATAATAGAGGTAATTTAACATTCAAAATCATAGAGCCTTTTGGTAGCATTGAGTGAACTATTCTTTCACTTTAATCAAGCTCGAATTTTAGGCTTCAATCGAACTTTTAAATTTTTTTTTAGTTCAAGCCTTTTCGAGTTCAAGCTTACTTTTAAAATTTTCAAGTTTGAGTCGAGCTCAACAATACTCGAGTTCGACTTGGCTCGTTTAACAAACGACGTCGTTTGGTTTAATTTAAAAAAAAAACAAAATTGGCGATTTTTTTTTTCGTTTTTTCCAAGTTTTCAGCCGGTTCGGTTTGAACGGTTCAGCGGTTCTGGCCGGTTCACTAATAACGGTTCAACCGATCTAGATTGAACCGGGACTAGGCAACGGTTTCCGGTTGAACCGACCGATCCGGTTTTCAAAACAATGCCTGAGAGTGATGCCGGTGCACACAAGAGGAATGGTATTGGTCTTAGCCCATGATTTAGCCTTTATTTTTTTTTTCCAATCGACCACCTTCTTGATGTTGTCACTTGTATATATTAATACACGGTGGTAGATCCAAAAATATTTTTTAAGATGAATATATATATACTTATAACAGAAATTTTTTGTGTATGTGAACACAAAAAATTTTAACACCGTCATCAAAATAACAAACTACATAAAAAGTTCAAATTTCAATGTTAACATATACCCACTCTGGAGCCCATTTACATCCCCACTGTTAATACAGCAATGTCTACATTGACCTCGACAGACTCATTTCAATGTTCAACAGTTTTGGGACGAATTATGATATGTTGTCCAATATAGTTAATGTTTTGGGACTCCATACCCTAATTAGCAAGTTTTTAAAACTCAAATGATATTCCTATTTTAAGTAGCAAGCTTTTGAGTGGAATATTGATTGCAAACAAGCATGCGTAAACATTTATGATGAGAATTTAACAGAATTGAGTCTCAATATCAAGCCAATCCTCACATTTTCATTTACATCACTTTTTTTTTAAATTAAGATTATATTTTTAATATAATGATTAATATCTGATTTAGAGGTTAATTATTTGAATTTTAACTAGATATTATAAAGATCTATTATGAGAGTGATATTCTCAATCTAGTTTGTTTCATTCATAATATCAATATTTAAGCTCTAATCGCCGTTAAACTAATTAATAATCGATAATATTTTTAAGAAAATTATAAAATAATGCATATAAGGTTTGGCGGTTAATATAAAAAAAATGGGTAATGGGCATTAAAGTAGCTTTGTTGGCGTTCGCAAACAAACAAATGTTGTTGTTCAAACAACATAAAATCATCAAAAGAAATTGCATATCAAGGTATATGTATATTTAAAATCATCAATGAAATGTAATTTGACGACGCTATATTAAAGTTCAATCCAGTTTTTTCGACGGTGTTAACATAAATAATCCAATCTATTATAATAAAGATTAAATGATATAATTTAATTAAAAATAATTTTAATCATTCAGTGATCTAAAATATAAGCTGACTCGTTTATTTTAGAACTCAATTAAAAATACTTATTCTTATAAAATTCGATCCAATTGAAACCTAATCAATATAAGCATAATTATTTTATTTCAAACCTTCGGAAAAAGTAAGGATAAACTATAGTGGTGGTCACTTTTGTTTCATTTTTCTTCTAATTTTGCCTACTTAAGTTTCACTTGTACTATTAGTTAATTACAAATTGACCACTAATACATTAACTCAGATCATATTAATAACATGACATATCAATAAAAAGAGTTAATTGAGTATTGTTTAGAATGTTTAATTATAGTTCTATAAGAACCTTAGTTGTCATCTTGATTTCACTTTGCCGTTTCTCCGATCACCTTCTCCAGTCAGAATCAACACCGGAATTTTATTGCGATTTTTTGGTTAGTTTTGACTCGATTAGAATTGGAAAAAAATTATCCAATTTCGTGCACTCCTCTACAATTTGAAACTGAAAAAAAGAATCACAAATTCAACATTTTTATTTCTCAATGTAAATGTATTAGACTACATACACTGATTTAGGTGTCAATGTATTAGACTACATACTTATATCACTGCAGAGTTCAATGATTCAATAAAGAATAGTAAAAGTTATAATGCCGAAAAGCATATGGATCTATTTCCATGCAGTCGGATTCAATTCATTTTGCAATTTAAAAAATTAAAGTAGGCTGGTCCAGTTGGAGATTTTGCGAGGTGACATCACCGATCTGTTTTCTATTTAATAAAAAATAATTAAATAAATTACGAAATAATATTGTCAATCTTCCACATTAGACATAAATTTTGTCTTTTGAACTATCTATTGTTAATGCATTTTCTTATTGAGCAAAATTACGATCAAAATGGCGGTAAAAGTTTAAGGCATACAAAGTGGACGAAATTTACTCATTATACGGAATCCTATAAATAAAAAATACCAATTTTCTTTCCTCTACAATCTTTATCGTATTGAGAAACAAAGAAAACAATCTAAAGAACCACTACCATTTACGATGATCGGCTATTACCGGTACGATGGCCGTCACAACAGGTGGTGGTTATAATATGGGAAAATAGCTAGATAGGATGATATAAGAAGATGAAAAAAAAAGAGAAATGATGAAAATAAAGAAAATGATATTTTATATAGATTCAAAATAATAAAGTTTTGGTGTAAATTTGATTTATCCAAAACGATGTCGCTTTGATACCATCTACCATGTCATATCACCGTTAATTATTTAATGAAAATGCGATCAAAACATGAATGATTCAATAAATTAGTAAATGAATTAAAAAATTTAAACTTTAGCATCTAAAATAAGAGTTAGAAGAAAATTTAGGAATAAAATTTGTAATTTACTACTTTAAAAAAAATCTAGTTGAGATCAAACTTTCATTTTCTTCTCTAATCTTTTAATTAACATAAAAAGCGAATTCATCAATGGTTAAAACAACATTTTTTTTAATAAAATTAAATTTCTGATTAAAAACAACAACAGCAATGATCATGCCAAAGAAGTTTACATAAACTTGAAGTGCTCATCATTTTCACAACTTTCTTCATTGACGAAATTTCTTGACGATATTACATGAGCATGGTGAGGCATGTTGGCCCACCATAATTATGAATGCCCCCATTCGCCATTAAAGCTCTTCAAGGTAAAAGGATCAGTGCCCTGAGAATCTAATGTAAAGTCTAACACCCATTCCTTCATGTCAATTCCAACTCAAAACACTTGTCTTTGAAACTTGATCAGTGTCCAAACCAGCTCTAATCTTGTTGTCGGTTCAACTAAAGATGCTGCTTTGGTCATTGCAGAACAAGTTGTTCACTGTTTAATTATTGCCTTTGTCCAAGACCGAAAATCTTTCTTTAATCTTGACTTCTTGTCTGTATACGCAAATAAGTTGGTGTGCATTTAATAACATACGCAGTCTTTTTTGTGTCAAATTCAAGGCAATTCCTCCTCCCTTTGGGTTTTGCTCTAAACATGAGGCCAACGATCTTTCTTTTTGGAGACTCCATCACGGAGGCTTCCTTCTGTGATGGCGGTTGGGGTGCTGCTCTTGCAAATCATTTCTCTCGCACGGTATATCAATTTTGTTTTAATGGCGGTGTGATATTGAAGAGGGTTTGTGATGAAACCTCTAAACCCTTGTATATATATTGAAGAGATTTTGTGGTTTGATATTTGCAGGTTGATGTGGTGCTGAGAGGGTACAGTGGGTACAATACAAGGTGGGCGTTTCAGGTGTTTGATAGGGTTTTTCCTGCGGCGGAAAGCGGTGGTTCTGAGGGTTCAGCATCGCCGCTTGCGGTGACCGTGTTCTTTGGAGCTAATGACGCTTCCCTTCCCGATGGATACGCTGCTTTCCAACATTTGCCGGTTGATGAGTACAAGCAGAATCTCCACTCTATCGTCTCCTCTCTCAAGGTTCCATCACCTCTTTAGAATTTTCTTTGTCTGCTACAAATTTGGTAACAGTTAATCAATCAAATATTAGCAGTTTCATTTGGAATAATTTAATCTCCTTAAATTTCTAAAATAATAATGATTTTTTTTTTAAAAAAAATAGGTCAACAGACATAAATTGATAAGTCCCGTAAAACTATATTATTCTATACGTTCATTTTTCTGAATCAAGGGTTTACTTATCTAATTCAAAATCAAATAAATTTTATATATGTTTGTAATTTTTTTATAATTGATATATTAATAATTTAATGTTGGGTTTATTAGTACTATTCTAGTTATTATGCATATAAAATTTAGAATTAATATAATATATCTATCATATCGATTCAAAACACTTTATTTGCTAATATATTTAACAGTTGAAAAGTTTTTACATAAAATAAATACTTAAATATTTCTATTTTATTCAAAACGTGATTTGTATAATATATATAACATAAATTTCAACAGATAAATGATTAAAATATTAATCATAAAAATTACAAAAATATATGTAAAATATTATTTATTTTTAGAATCTCTTTCTTTTCTTTTGGGGTTATAGCATGTAAAATTGAGTGACATAAATTGCGAAAATATAAAACATTTATTTTTATATTATAAAAGTAAAATACATTTGTAAATTATATAAAATTATAATTTCAGTTCCAATAATAAAAAATTAAACTTGTAAATTATATTTTGTCAAACAATACTACAATTGAATTAGGTGGTGAAATTGTGCAACTGTTTGTTTTCTTGAGTGCTTCTCTTTTTCTTTCGTATAATTTTAATATTTGGATGGCACACAACACTGTTTCCGATTTGCTTATCATATTATCAGGCTGAATTCCAATTCAGATCGGAAAGGTAAAAAGAAAGATGATTTGAATGGTGAGACTTATTGATATTGGTTGGCAAAGTGGGCCTTTGAATATCCAAAAAGCAAGAGATGAAGAGTGGGTGGCTAAGGCCCAGTTGTCGCTGTTATTGTTCCCCACTTGCCTTGGCTAATGCTTAACCCTAATATCAATATATCCCTTTGTTTTAATCTTCTAGCTATAGGATGCTAGCTACCTACTAGTATTCTTTACGCGAAACCACTCATAGGGTTGGCGCCCCGTATTATAGGCAATCATGCTATTTGTTGTTAATGCAGCCCTTTCTTTTGGTTGGATTGGAAGCCCCTTGTATGCATATATTTCTACAATCTTTATGTTGACTGTTGACAAAAATCACAAGTGTTGTGCCTCTCGAGAAATAAAGTTGGAGCACTGATCTCAAAGTTTATTTGATATTGCGTTGCCACTAAAAGCTCAATATTATATTTGTTTCCTATTGATAGAAAAAGTTGAGTTAGGTTGGTTTTTTTGACAGTTCACCTCTTTTTTAATTTTGGTGAAAAGTTGTAATCAATGATTTACGAGTTATAAAGAATAAAAAAAATTCTAGAACTCCGAAGGATAGAGAGTTTTGGAGGAATTATGGAGATCCCAAAGCTCACTAGGATGAGGATAAAGCAGCGGAGGTATAACCGATATGGAGGAGGAATAACAGCTTCAATCATTATGAAAGAAACTACTTTACTTGTTTGCCAAGCTTTAAAGCCTTTTCTATTTGTCTGTTAGGTACTTGGAATATTTTAGTGTAGGCTGGAGTCCTGGTATTCTTTAGCAGTTTAACTTCGTCTCCAATTGAGGAAGACGTAACAAGTGTATGTTACTCATTATATCAACTTCTGCTGCTCATAGCTTTTCATCTCCTCTTTTGTGGTCTCAAAAGAGATGGCCAAACACACTCATTATACTAATTACTCCTCCAATTGATGAAGATGAACGTCTTAGGTATTGTTCAACATTTTCTATCCACTTTGCATTTCGCATCTTACCATATGCTCAATACTTCTATGCACGCAAACATTCTTGATGCAGATATCCTTATGCCGAGAATCCATCGGGTTTGCCCGAGAGGACGAACGAAGCCGCCGGTGTGTTCGCCAAGGCATGTATGGAAGCTGCTGGAGAATGTGGGGTCCCAGTGGTAGATCTCTGGACCCGGATGCAGCAGTGTCCTGACTGGTGCAAAGCATTTCTTAGGTATCTAAGGCATTTTTATTATTATTATTAGTATATCTTCAGAATCTTTTTTAACTACTGATAACGCACATACATCCTGCAACACAATTGCTCGAACCCGAGACCTCTATAGAGAATAATTATGATGTTGGTATAAATGCAGTGATGGTTTGCAACTCACACGGGAAGGCAACAAGGTTGTGTTTGAAGAGGTAATGAAGAAGCTGAATGAAGGGGGCATAAGCCTGGGAAAGCTGACAGTTGATCTCCCTCTTATTACTGATATTGACCAAGATGATCCACTTAAGACTTTCCACTAGAAGTTAGAAAATCTTAATAAAATCACTTAAGTATTTTATTTCATTTTATTATTTTAAGCAGATGGTCTCAAGTTTTATTCTGAGATGATTGTAATCAGTACAATGACTCTCCATAAATCGAGTTGTGAAAGTAATAATGAATGTGAGATGTTTATGGAAATTGTATGTAGAAACAGAGCACTGCCCACTTTCCAGGAATCATAGTTTTACTAACCCAGGAACATCCAAATATCTATGAAAATATGATTCTAATTTTAGAGATGTCATTGTTGGTATCACAAACTCGAAACATGAATCGTAAAAATAAAGTTAATATGACTAGAAATATATCATAAAATGTTTTAAAAGATTAAAAGATTGTATTTTCTTCGAATATGAGGTTGAATTTCATTTGTTATATAAATAGTTGAGGCTGACTCGGTTTTAGTTTCCTTGACATCTTTTTGAAGGTTGCAGGTTTGAATATAATTGTTTTCAGTTGAAGAGATGGTTGTAGTATAAAAGCAGAATAAGCTTGTTATAGATGGCTTGAATTAATTTGAAATTAAATGATGAACTAAAATGGAAAAAATCGAAACATTGTTCACCTACTCACCAAGTGTTGATTCTATTGGAAATTCTCCTAAGCAGAAACACTGAAGGTCGAAACAAGGCACGTCCCCCGACTATGTTTATCCACCTTCTGATTCCAGCTCCAACAGTAGTACCCGCAATTAAAATGTTTATATGAAATGAAGAAAACAAGCTTGATGATGGGAAAGTAAAACAAAAGATGACGAAGGGAAAAAAAACAAGAGAGGAGAGTCTAACAGTACCTCAAAGGGTGTTCCACTTGAAGGAGTAACGACAATTTTCTAAAACATATTTCTAGTTTACCCGAATTATATATAAAAGTAAGCAAACACCATAAAAAGCATAAAATTTAAAGAAGAGATGGCCCATGCAGGTTTCGACCTGCGACCTTCGCGTTATTAGCACGACGCTCTAACCAACTGAGCTAATAGGCCGTTGATTCCAAGCATAAATATTATAATATATATTCATATACTAAGTGAAGGTCGATTATTATTGTTTAAGTCGAGTTGGCGCAATTCCATTATGGAAAGTGGCAAGCCCTTCCCCTCCTATATATTGAGTGGCTAAAATATATGTATTAATGTGAAAATTATTTATATTATATCCATAATGATTCGTAAAACATATTAGAACTATCTGATATTAGAAATGGTTAAAATTATATTTATGGTATAAATAATAATATAGTTAAAAGAAAAAAATTGGAGATGGATAAAAAGTTTTAAATTCCTTTAATTTTAATTTATTTCCTTTTTATTTTTACCTTTTAGATAAAATTCAATTTTTATGAAATCATTTTGAGAGACCGGATTAGTATTTTACATCCCTATAACAAATTAATGATGTTTACTCGGGTGATAAGCCAGGTGGGTTCACATATTCATTATTCAATGATTAAAAGGCCTACGTAGGTGGCGTTGCCAATGTTGTTACGGATTTGATCTTCAAAAGAGAAAAGCTGGTACAATTGATTGGTTAACTAATTGCCAAAAAGAGCTTGTTACCATATGAATTTATGTAGCTGCTGAGACTATCTTTTATGGAGTAATAATTAATGTTTGCTTCTTTTTTCATTTAAAAGAAACAAAATAAAACGCATTTTGCGGTGTACAATTCATTTCGTTGGGCTAGCAATAGATTCACGAGTTAAGTTTGATTTCTTACCAAATCAATTTAATGCTATTGATTTCTGTCACTTAATTTCTCGGCATTTAAATCCTCAACTGCCCCCCCCCCCAAATATCAATTCAATGCTATTGAATTATGTCGCTTAATAACATAAATTATTTGAGTTATGAAAATTTATTTAATTATATAATCTTTCAAGTAAAATAATTTATGCAAGTTCACATTCGGTAGTCGCCACTTGGCCTTTGTCTACTCTTTTACCATGAACTGCAAAATTTTATTCCTCGTAATCTTGTTCCTAACTTTGGGCTTAGCTTTATCAATCCCCCAAAATTATGAGTCAATTTTCAACTTCGGCGACTCCCTAAGCGACACAGGCAATCTCCTTCTCTCCGGTGCCCTTGCGTTTCCGGTCATCGGACAGTTACCTTACGGCAAAACCTTCTTTCAACACGCAACCGGCCGCTGCTCCGATGGTCGTCTTATCATCGATTTCATTGGTAATACTCATCACATTATATATATATATATATAAACAGCTTGAAAACCAAGATTTCATTCTCCTAACTATGTTGTTTTCTTCGTTTTTTTTAATAAACCAGCTGAGGCATTTAGTTTGCCGTATGTGCCACCTTACCTAGCGGTAAAGCAAGGCCAAAGTGCTCAACATGGAGTGAACTTTGCATTCGCCGGAGCTACTGCACTTGATGCTGAGTTTTTCTTCGAACGAAACATCTCGATTTTATGGACAAATAATTCCCTGAATGTTCAGCTTAATTGGTTCAGGGACCTCAAGTCCGACCTTTGTTCTGATAAAGAATGTGAGTTAAATCATTTCCATGTCTTTCAATTCTTCCACTGAGGGATGGAGTGAAGGAGAACCGGTGGAACAATAGTAGCTAAAACTTTAAATTCCATATATTTTAAATATTATTTATATTTTTTTTATTAATAATCTATTTTCGTCTTTAAAATTTCACCTCCCCTTATTTTTACTAAATCTTCTCAGAACAACCTTCTTTCTTCTTTTGTCGTAGCTTGTGATGATTTCTTCAAGAAATCACTTTTCATGGTCGGAGAGATCGGTGGAAACGATTATAATTACGCCTTCTTTCTCGGTGGAGGCAGTAAACAGCTTCGATCTATGGTCCCTTTGGTCGTTGGAGCAATTACTGATGCAACCAGTGTAAGTTTAGAGTTTAGACCAAAGTAAGAATTGTGAAGCTTAAGCCATTAAAGTTTGGTTTTTTCCCGGGGATTTTGTACTTTTGTAGGCGTTGATAGAGGAAGGTGCGGCGGAGTTGATGGTGCCAGGGAATTTTCCCATCGGTTGCTCAGCTGTTTACTTGACCTTGTTTGAAAGCCCTAACAAGGAAGATTATGACCGCCATGGTTGCCTAAAGGCATTTAATGCTTTCGCAAAATACCATAATTCTCAGATAAAAAAGGCCCTGGATATGTTGAGACAAAAGTATCCCCATGTCAGGATTATGTACGCTGATTATTATGGTGCTGCCATGCGTTTTGTTCACACTCCACTACATCACGGTTAGTTTCTTCTTCATTTTCATTTCAATCACTTGTATAAGGATTAGCTTATATTATCGTAGATGAGTTAAAATGATTGGTGTGACATGGGTGTATTGGAATGAACAGGGTTTTATGGTGGGACTCTAAAAGCGTGCTGTGGAGGGGGTGGTCCATATAACTTCAATAATTCAGCAAGGTGCGGTCACGCGGGATCTGAAGCATGTCAAGATCCTTCAATTTATTCAAATTGGGATGGAATTCATCTGACGGAGGCAGCTTATCGCTATATAGCCTTGGCTTTGATCAATGGCTCCTCTTCTCAACCACCCCTCTTATCCCGTCCCCTTTGAGATTGAGACAAATCAAATTCCATGAGTCATTCGAGGGTTTCATTTAGATGTTCACTGGATTGGGGAATTATGCAAGTACTGTACCTGATTTGATTTTTTAGTCTAGCCTCATAATTTTGAAAATAATGAAAATTAATCTACTAATTAAGATGGATTTGGACGGAATTTTAAAGGAAAACCCAATTCAAGACTAAAAATTGGTAAATTTGGGCGTGAACCAAAAAAATAATATTTTAAGTTGGATGTAACCTAAAATGTGATATTATTCATAATATTTTCGGTTGTAACCTAAAATGTTACGAAGAAAGTCACATTTTCGGTTGCCATCGAAAATATTGTGAAAAATATAATATTTTAGGTTGTAATAAAAAATATTATAAAAATATTACATTTTAAGTTCATCTAACATAAAATGCTATGCTTTTTTTTGATAATATTTTATACCGCACTTATTTCCGTCGTTATTTAGCCACATCCTAACTCGCCGCACTGCAGAACTCTGTATGGATTTGGAAAAATGATATGTCAACATCCAAAGCTGCTAAAATCCCAAAAATCCCAGCTTTAGTGTTCTTTTTTAAGAAAGTAACACTAATCTCATTAAGTCATTTTTATCAATTCAAGATGGAGTAATATATAAAGTCTCAATGCTTTAAGCTAAAAGAACAAGACATCTCTCGTTACTTTAGGTTGATGAAACAGTCCAAAGTTTTTTAAATCTCATTGCCTCAAATTGGAGGAGCAAGCTTTACTAAAAGTTTCATATTTTTTTTTAGTATGAAGGAGAAGATTATCTTTAACAAATCCAACATCTTCGAATATAAAAGAGTGATATTATCTTAATAAATTTGAACAGTCAACTATCAATGACCACATCTTAATTAAATAAAACTGAAAGTGATAAAATATTATTTTTTTGAATTCATTAAAAGATATACAAAACTTAAAAGAAATTGATCAATTATGTAATTAATATATAAAAAATAAAACATAAATTAATGGTGCAATTATATCGTTTGTCGAAATTTACGAGTCCCAAATGGGACCAGAGGCTGGAATTCCAGCGGCCTTGCAAGCGTTGACAACATCTCTGCGTCCTTCGGATTGCTTGTAACAATGACCACTTCAGCTACCCATCTCTTCGCTGCATCAACACTCATCTGCGACACGTTTGGACGATCTAAAACCGCTGTGTCGTGGACGATCACCTTCTCTTTAGGGTGTTCACTGACCATTTCTTTGATTTCTTTGCCGTAGTTTTGCTCAATGCCTTTGGCCACCCAAAGCACGCACACATTAGCCGAGCATGGCTGCAACAGGAATGACAAAAACACGCAGATCCCTGACCCTGTTGCCACCACCAAAACCCTGTCATACATGTTGACCAGGTAAGGCAAGCCAGCGAAGTGCACTGTTCGAACCCACAAATGGTTCGGTGGGTTGGAGACAAGGAATTCGTGAAATCCCCAACTGCTCCGGAAAGCATCATGTGCTCGGTTTTTCCGTCGGAAATGATTCCAAAAGCATGCCATTCCGAAAACGGGGAGGGACTGATCCTACCTAGTAGGCCGGATTTTATTCCTCCCTCGGACTTGATAATGGATGCATGGCCTGAAGGAGCTGAGACCTTGACAGGAACACGTCCTACTGTCAACCATGGGATGATAATTAGGATTGTGATGGCTATTGTGAACCAGAATTCCTGTTTTTGATCAATCTTGAACCAAGTTCCTTTGAGTAGGATTTGGTTAGTGGATCATAAGAGATTGTCAGGATGATAAAGGCCCAAAGTAGACAAAGAACAGTCCATCCCGCGAATCTGTGAATCCTTTCAAAGACATTGTGATGGAGATGGCGGACCAGAGGGAATGCCGCCAAACATGAGAGGCAGAGAAGGGAAAGAATAGCAGCCGCGACACCGATGATCTCAGGGTAAGTATTTTCTCCATCTTTGAGTGTAGGAACTAAGGCATATACGAGCCACACAACGGAAGAAATCCCACAGCTACTGTGTATCCCACCAAGATTTTGGAGGATAGATGTAGTTGCAGTCTTGATTGGAAGAGGTATCCAAGGCCTTCCCAGCACTGTGACCGCAAGCCAAAAGACTAGTCTCAGAAAAGCCTCGCTTCTGCAGAGTGTCAAAGCAAGAATGTTGGCAATGGAGAAAAGGGAAGCTCTATTTCTAGCATATGGAAAATGTCCTGTTGCAGCAAGCACCAAGGCAATGATGTTAAGCGTCAAGCAGACCACAAAGAGCTTTTGTATACAGTGAACTGCCCTTGGTCAAGCAAAATGACTGATAACCTTGATTCTTGCTTGCGAGGAGCCGGCTTTGGTGTTTGCTCACGTTCGTCATCCTTCTCTTCGTCCTTGCCCTCTTCTAGTCTTTCCCATTTCATATCAACTTCAAGTTCAAGGTCGCAGAAATGACTGCTTGCTCGGCTCGTAGACCTTTGCATGGAAGAATTAGGGAACACTTGGATGAGCTCCCTAGGTACCATGGAAACCAGGACGTGTTGCTGCTGCTAAGAGGTTCGTTTTGAGCAATGGCGAATGGGTCTGCATGAGGTTTGATCTCGAAAGCCACCTCTGCAACTCGAAAACCTCACTGGGGTTTACATTTTAATTATGTGATCGGTGAAGCTGTGGATGTGTGATGTGCTCTTCATGCAAAGAAAAGTTGGATATTTATAGGCCTTGCAAAGCTGAAGAGTATTGGTTTAGACTCTCCCAATGAAGTAATGTCCATAACTTTACTATTTGGATGATGAAACCAGAAGGCCAACTTTTATTGACCCTCTGCAAGTTAATTTTACGATCTTAGACCCAGAAAAATGAAAGATGAAAATGGTCCTTTTTCCAGGAATAAATCACACAGTTAACTCTCACAACAAATGATTAAGAATGATAAAAGGAAATGTTTGTATTTTAAGAACTGATTTTTAGGCTAATTCTAGTATTAAGATTTGTAACCCCTAGACCCGGTTTTAAACGTTAGACCCAAACCTAAGCAGTCACATGTCTCATTCAAAGATTCTTTATTTAAATAACTTATAATACATTAGATAATATATAACAAAGTATTAATAATACAGATATATCCAAAACGATAACAAATACATGTCACCAAACACAACTGGAAAACATATAGAGATATACGTTCGTACAATATAAAGTAGTTGATCTCTCATGATGCCAAATCTTCTAGCTTACGGTATGTTGTTATTTGAAAAAGGATAAAAACTACAGAATGAGCTAAAAAGCCCATTTTACTCCATACAGTGTATAAAAATACTAATAAAATATTACAATAAAATTGTTTATGCAATATGTTTTGAAAACATGAACAGTACCCCCATCCTTTCACAATCTGTTTGTGTAGGTTCCCCAGAACCACACACCCATCCTACACAACCAGTAAGGCCCTGAGCACACATCCAAGGAACCTGCATGTATACTTCCTTCAACAATACCCCCAATGACATAAATGAACATGAATGTATTTGAATGAAAACAATGATTACTTCTTTAAAACATAAAAGTGTTCATGATTGGAAATCATATACAGAAATATGGAAATCAGAAGTCAAATCAGTAGTATACAGTAATTCAGATATCGAATAATCAATATTCAGAAAATCGGTATAAAATACCGTAATCAGAAATCATATCAGAAATATGCGGTAAATCAGATATCATATACACAATATTCAGATATATATTTTAAACAATAATAATGTAACACTGTCAGGAAACACACCTGTAATAGTATGAGAAATCAGATAGGGAAGCCTATTATTGGGTCTGTCGATCACCTGCTGCAGCGCTAGATCCTACGAATTGGAACAATCCATATTGGAATCATAATATAAATAATCTTAACCTTTATTAAATTAATTTACAAAAACCTACGGGTAAGTCTCGTATTGCACGGTTCGGGCTGATCTGACGAACGGACAACACCGGACCTAACTGATCCTCGCTCAGGTGAAACACGAGTACCTTCATAAAATATCTTGTTAAATCAATTCGAGTACCTTCATAAAATCTTGTTAAATCAATTCCATAACCACATCTTAAATAAATAATCAAAAATGCTAAAATACTAAGCCTTTTGGGTTCACAAGCTCGATTCGAGGATTTCGGGTCAGAATTTGGCAAAACGGACTTCGGAATCAGATTCAGGACGACGAAAAACATAAAATATGACTTTTCAAAAATTTGAATTCTTGGTCAAAGTCAAAGTCAACGGGTTTGACTGACAATTTGAAGACTTTCAGGTTCGAATTTGACAAAACAGGCCCCAAAAACGGATTCAGGACGTTAAAAAATGCCAGGATAAGTATATTCAGAAAATGTCAACGGCCGTTTAATGGCCGGTCAATGTCGGTCAAAGTTCTGGTCAAAGGAGGTCAACATATGATCAACTATATTACACAATTATCACCTTTTTTAAGAAATATTTACGAAAATAACACCCTTTTAAAAATATTTACAAAAACAACATCTTTTTAAAAATATTTACAAAAATAACACCATTTTAAAAATATTTACGAAAATAACACCATTTTAAAAATATTTACGAAAATAAAACCTTTTTAAAAATATTTACAAAAATAACACCCGGTAAATGTTCAACGGTCAATGGGTCGGGTCAACGGGTCAGAACCGGTCAGACCGGTCAAACCGGTTTTAAACTATGGTCGAGTCTTCCCCACGCGCAGTGGCGGCGCGTGGGACCTCCTCCGACGTCATAAAATTTACAGAAAAATTTCTAAAAATTATTTTGAGCGATTTCGAGGCACTTACAAAGCTCAGTTCAAAATTTCGAATAGTGGAGAGCTTGATTTCAACGAATTGGAAACTTTGACCGCTTCACCTCCTCACGCGCCGCTGCCGACAGAGACCAAGGATGACACAAGGAACACGATGGTGCGGGAGGTGTCGAAAACAGAGCAACGATCGACGATGAATTTAGGATTTTTTCGGCGGTGGTGCTAAAAAAAGTCGAAACTTTGACTTGAATTTCACGGCGTTTGGCAGCGTTTCACTTCAATTAATTTAAGGGGTTTGTTCCTCGCTCGATGACGAACGCGATGGTGGTTTCAAAATGACAATCGGAGGTCGGACGACATCGGAAATTGGTTTAGAATTTAGGAGTTGGGGGACGCAAAACCAATTTCACGCAATTATAACCAAAACCTGTCGGCATTTTTTAGGTAAATTCAAGGTTTAGTCCCTAAATTTTCTTAAACTCTAAAACAGACTACAAGTTTTAAAAACTTTCAATTTAATCATCAAATTTTGTCAAATTACTTAATTAAAATTTTTTTCTTTTCAAATTTTCCGGGTTGTTACAATTTTAGAATTATTTATGTTCACATTATATATTTAAATATTTAAAGTTTAAAATTAGTTCAAAATATTTGAATTTGACACTAAAATTATATAGATTTATATAATTTTCATATTGAATTCTTGATTTTTACTCTAAACATAAACTATTTTGTGATATTGATGAGATGATCAAATTTAATGAGTCAAATGGTTTCATCTAAGTTTAGGATTTAGCCTTTATTTAATTTTATAATCTTCATAATACTATTAGTTAGTTTAAATTATTAATGTTGATTTTGTTAAATTCGCCACCTTTTAATAAAAGAATTCATTAGAGTTTAGAGTCTAGCATTAAAAAATTAGATTTGCGTAAATTAAAATTTATACGGTTCATGAATTAAATAATTTTTTATTTTGTTTAATTAAAAAATATGATAGTAAATTTTTTTTACACAATCTACCTTTTTGAATACTAATTGTCTTATTTAAAGTTTGGAGTTTTAAATTTAAGATTTAGAATTTAGAATTTAAATATTATATATAACCTTTTGATTAAAGTTTAAAATAAATATTTAACCTTTTAGGAAATACTCCTATAAATATATAACTTTCCAAATCATCAAATAGAAATTCATGCTTTCTATTGTTTCTACGCATGACGTACACGCATTAAAACTACTTGTATATCCGTTGAGTTAGATTGCAATGGTCGACATGGCTGGTTGATTAGGAAATTGATTGGTTTAGAAAAATATTAAGAGAAAAAGGATTACATGTCATCCATTGTCATCTTTCATGTTTTGTGTAAAAAAATATTCTCTTGGTGGGAGGAGATAATAAGGGGAGATCATCCCGTCAAACTCTTGATGGAAATACATGCACTTGAGAGAGGCCAATGGAGAGTCGGATTAAAACAAATGTTGATGGAACTGTTCGTATAGTAAATGTGCGGCTATTGTGAGACGTGTTTCGGAATGTTCAAGGAGAATGGCTATTTGATTTTACCAGAAGTTTTGGAAATTACTCGATGTTGATTGCTGCATTGTGGGTGATTCGTGATGCGTTAGAATATACATCGAGGCCTGGATATTTCAAAATTATGATCGAGACAAATAGCTTGGAGGTTGTGCAGTTGTTAAAAGAAATTTCGCATTATTCATGTACGTAACGTTCCCTTTGTTGATACTACAAGATTGATGCTAGAATGTATTTGAGAGATAATTTGTCGACCAGTCAGGAGAGATGTAAACGACGTGATTGATATCAGGGTTTTAAATAGTGGTATACGACTGTGATAGCTCCCGCGAAATAGCGGTAGCACTGTCTTTTGATATACCCGTTATATCCGCAATAATGTCTGCTATGGCGATAAATGAGATATGACCGAAAAACGATCGCGGCCACTATTTGAATCTCTAGTTGATATATTAATGTCTAAAAAAAGCATCAGAGAGACCCTTTTCGTTGAAGCTTCGTGATGATGAACCTTATTATTTAAGAGACTATGCCAAACTTTTAAGTATTTCAATAACAAGAAGCTATTCCATTCCAAACCTTTAAGTGTTTTTTTTTTGCTTTGTATTAGCAAAAAGAAAAAGAAAAAGAAAACCCTAAATGTCTTGTTATAAAATTATTTGACATTTTCTTCCCCACATCCAATCATCAAGTGTCGTCTTTCTTCTTTCCTTTTTTTGTTACTCTATTGCGATTTTATGTTTGAATTTATTAGATATTGGTTTCGGTTCGAGATTTTATTTTTTATTAATCAATAAGAGTAACCAATAAAATTATAAAATAAATAATCAAATTATATTACAGAGACTAATCCCAAAATTGGGTGTAATAAAAGGATGTAATCGTAATTTTGTAAATCTAACGTTAAATCATTTTACACGAATTTCTATTATATTTTTAAAAAAGAAAAAAGAGAGAGAAATAAAATTAGTGGGAATACTCTTCCAAATTATACAAATCCATGATTTTCATGGATGGCAAAATAAACGCTCACAGGTACATATTCAGGACGTCACTATTTAGAATGTCAACTTTCACTTTCTCAGAAATTTTGACATGCTTCTCAAAATTTCTAATATAATTGAACAATAAAATAGGGCATAATTATGGGATTATATATAATTAAAGGATTAAAATAATATTTTTTTTAAAAGTTAAATGGAATAACAGAATATTAATTTGATTGATATTATTATCATTATAATATTCAAGAATTACTAAATTATCAACAAATATATTTGGTTGATTGGTTAAGTTATTCATCTTTCTAACATCATATTCTTAGGTTGTAAGTTCTAGATCTACTAGGACCATTCTT